AAATGTCCTGGCTCCGAAACATAAGGCAATGGACAGGGATTAACGACAGACAATCTCTGATACATATTGCAAGAAATAGAGAATTAATGGAAAATGTGATCGCTAACATCCATTAGTGGATTTGCATCTGAAGAAGAAGAAGAAGAAGAATGCAAGAAGCTCAAGATAGAAATAGGTGGAAAATTTTACCGAAGGCCTACGTTCAGCAGTGGACAAATATAGGCTAATTATGAATGTGAAAATCATGAACGTGTTGCTTGTGTGAGTCCATTTCAAATAGGTAAAGAAATAATAAATAAGACTTACTCACAATCAATTTAATTTAACTATCAGACGACCGGTTTTGCTTTCTACAATATGCAAAGCATCTTCAGGTCTCGATACAAAGTTAAATAAATGCTGAAATGATAAAACCCATATTAGAGTGTTGTCTAATAAAGATAAACAAATTAGATGTTATAAATTACACTAATTATGCCAATATTACATGTCTGTGGTTTTATTTCAAAATGAGTAAATTGAATAAAAATGTATAAAAAGTTTTAAAGGTTTAAACAGACAAGGTAAGGTCCACAAATTGTTATAAAATAGTCTCTTCGAATGTAATAAATTAATAAATGAGCAAATAAATAAAATAAACATTACTTACATGCCAGTACTCTATTAATTGATGGATGGTAGAACATGGTTGAAATTACTATGTATTGTTGAATGGAGAACTCAATTCTATTATTACAGTTGTTTGACAGTAAACGGAAAAACAACTTTCCTTGACACACTGAAAGCACACGTTGTGTGAAGCCCAATGGTTGTCCTGATCAGCAAGCTTTACACCGAAATGAGCGTGATAAGCTTTCTTTATAAAGTCTGTGTTATTTTTCGTTGATGCTTTCCTATTGTTAAATTATAACAAACGTAACAAAATATGGCAGGACTGTTCATTCACTTTCTTGATGACATTATGACGCGACACAATGAACATAGTATTTTAAAGAAATACTTTTAATGCAATTTACAAAGTATCAATAAAATACATATTTGTTTGTGCTAGTGTATAATATCTCACAAGGTTTTTCTTAATTTTGAAAATTTTTACGTAATGGGCTTAAACCGAATTCATATTCAGAATCAGCGTACTTGTATTAGTTAATTATGAATAAAAATAATAAATAAAAATTATAATTCAATTGCGATATCATTATATTGACCTACAAATAGTAGTCATATATAGTAATCTTTCTGGTTATAAATTATGACTATTTTATGTCAATGTGGTATGTATACAAAATATGCGAAGTAATTTTTTTTTGTTCTACATAGAGTATTTAAATGATGGAAAAATGCGTACATTTAAAAATATGCGAAGGATAGGTAGTTTTAAAGCAAAATAATTGTAATAAATTTAAACTGCTTAATAATGAATGAACTTTTAAAATTATGGCAGATAAAGACAGTACGTGCAATTACATAGGATTGATAAAGAATGTGGTGCAAAATGTCTAGTAGTCTAGTAGACTCATATTTTTGGAAAGTAATTTTCAAAAGAAAAAAAAAATTGTCTTTTTTAGTAGTATAATCATTATAAATTATAAAATATTGTTATAAAAAATTGTAAGAAATTTGAACACAGAAACCAACATACTGAATGTTTATATTCTTTACATCATGGGCGTATGCACAGCGGGTGCATCGGGTGCTATGGAACCCTCACTAATTTTATAGGGATACAAAAATTGAAATCTTTACGTCTAAAAACAAATAACATGTAAACATTTTAAGTAATATTTAATAAACCAGATATTAAAATAAAACGTTAAGTTCAAATAAGTTCAAAATTATAAATAAGATTTTAAAAATTATACTACTATATAAAACTATATAAAAATTAGTTATATGACCAAAAGGTCATATAACCTAACCTAAAAGGTCTATTTTGAAGGAGATGGATTTAAAAGTTTTGATAAACGCTTCTTTTTCTTCTCATGGCGCCGTCTCCTTTTGAAGGTTGTCGATCAAAATGGCAATTATGGTTTTGGAAACTGCTACGCGAAAGATTTCTGCGGATGCGCGGTCGAACCATCTCCTTAGGTCTTTTAGCTATGAGTTCTGGCGTCTTCCTACTGATCTTCTGCCCTGTACTTTTCCTTCCAGTATAACTTGTGGTAATTCATATTTTTCGCCTCTCAACACATGACTTAAATATTGGATTTTCCTCTCTTTGATTCTTCTTAGTAATTCTTTTTGTTTACACATTCGATTAAGTACCTCAACATTAGTAACTCTTTGTATTCATGGAATTATCAATATTCATCTGTATATATACATCTCAAAGGCATATATATTTTTTTTTATTTCAGTCCATTATCCAACTTTTACAGCCATACAGTAAGACAGAAAAAACATTTATTCATTCGGATTCTAAGCTGCAGACTAAGGTTTGATCTTGTAAAAAATTTGGTGACACCAATATACGTCACATGAACGTATATTGGTGTCTTTGAAAATACTAAATTTTAGTTTTGGAAACGTTTCGATGTAAACCAAACATTTCACTGTGGTGAACTACCGCATTTATTATATTTTGTAGTTCTTGTGCGTTGCTTACTATTAAGATAGTAATATTAGCATATCTGATGTTGTTTATGCTGATTCCGTTAATCTTATATCCACCCTGGACCTGGTCTAATGCTTCTCTGAATATAGATTCCAAATACAAAAATAAATAAAAGGGGTGATAAGACGCAACCCTGTCTTATTCCACGTCGGATTTGTATATCTTTGGATGTTGTGTGCTCTATTCCAATTATTGCCGTTTGGTGCCAGTATAGTTCTGAGATAATTCGCAAGTCTTGTTCGTCAACTCCAGTTGTTCTCACAATTTCGATCATCTTTTAATGGTTAACACAGTCAAATGCTTTTCGATCGTCAATAAAACATGCATATACATCTACATTCATGCCTCTACATCGTTGCGTTAACACGTTTAAAGCGAAAAAAACCTCTCGTGTTCCCAATCCGTTTCGAAATCCAAATTGGGTGTCACTCATCTGGAACTCGCACTTCTTGTAAATTCCTGTATATATAATTCTGAAAAAAGTTTTAATGACATTAGAGATTAAGCTTACTATTCGATAATCATCGCAGTGTGAAGAATTCGACCTTTTTGGTAATGCTACGATTGTTGATTTTAGCTGTTTGGACCGGTAGCTTTTTCATCTTTTTGAGATTTTACTGCGAATCACTTCCTCTTTGGTTATTTATGGGCTTTTTTTATTTATTCGATAATCTGTGGATGACGGAGAACAAGGTCTATCGTCATCAAAAAGAGTTTGTATGTATTCTTTCCATCTCTCTAGTTTGTCTTCTGTACCCATAATTATTTTGTTATTATCATTTTTTAATATTGTTTCTTGTATCTTTTTGTGTCTACCTGTCATTTCTTTTACTTTTTTTTATGAATATTAAAGGTGTAGTATTTTTTCTAAAGTTGTTCGATTTTTAGGCATTTTGTTGACATCCAGTTTTCTTTCGCCTTCCTGCACTTTTTTCTAATGATTGTATTGTTTCGCTTGTATTCTATTAAGCCTGTTTTCTGTTTTCGTCTTACTTCCATGAGGTCCATGATCTCTTGAGTTATTCATTCTTGTTTTTTATTGTATTTTATGAACTTGATGTCTTCTTCTTGTATCTTTATTATTTTTGTTTTTAGAGCAGCCTATGTCACTTCAATGTCTGTCTTTACCAGGTTTTATATCGTTTTTATTTTTTCCTGAAACTTGATACTTATTTCTTATTTTCTGTTCAGGGTTCTTCAGTTATAAGATGAGGATTTTTCTTGTCACTGTTTTCTTTTTGACTTTAAAAAATCTTTTTAATCTAAAATCCATTATAATTGGATTGTGATCGCTATGTATTAGATTAAATTTGTTTAGAACTACGTGAAAAACTGTTTCATGGTCATCAAACTCTAAAAATGGTTGTCAAAGTTAGTGAATTACTTTATTCACCAGACATTTATATTAGTTAAGCTATAGACGAAGTTTCAAACTTAGCAGTTGTTTTAGATTAATTAAAAATCAAACCATCTATATTTGATAATATTTAATTTAAAGTCATAGATACTTGTAATAAGCTTAAACTTAAGATTCTTACTTGATTGAAGCTGGTTTTATCAGACCATATAAGAAGAAATCAACTCCCAACGCGTAATACCAAACAGGGTATAGCCTAGGAACTAGTCCATGTCAGGTAAATTATTTAAACTGGTCTTTTAAGGTCTGACGGTATTGTAAGACCAAGGAAATAGTTAAGATAATTGCTTACACAAGTTGGTTCCCACGTCATCAGACGCTAGATTGGAAAAGACACCCAGACAAATCACAGGATATTCCTCACGAGTGGACCGTTAGAGAAATAAAAAATAACCCTTGTCTGTCAAAAATTTTTTCCCGCCAAATTATGTCCCGCAAGAAGTACCGTCGCACATCTCCAGAAACGTACGGCCCGACGTACACAATTTCCAAAACCACAAACGCGGCAAGAAACACGATCAAACCCACGTTGGAGTCACGAGTGAAGGGAGTAGGTAGATCAAGACCTCGAATTCGAATAGAATACTTTCTCTCTTAATAATGACTCCAAAATAAGTCCCGAAACGTCGAGTTTTAAATTCTCAACGCGGTTCTTCCCAAAAACTTATTATAAAGCAATTTTTATACATATAGATTAAATGGTATGTTAAAATATAATATTGTTACCGTATGTTCATTTATAATATTTGTAAACAATTAAAGGTTAAAATAAAACTGGATTTAGGACTTTAAATTTGATAATTATCTAAAATATTAATATTTTTAGTAAAAGTCGACAGCTCTTGTGCATTTTTACATTAATTGTTTTGTTAATGTGGCGATTTACATATTTTGCTGATATTGTTTATTTAAATTTTAACATAATTTAATATTTCAATAGATTTCTTACTACATAAATACCTTTTCGGCATGGGTTTTAATACATTAGACAAAATGTTTAGTTTAACAACTTTCTTTTTCCTGTTTAGCTTTTGTTTGTTCTCTGGATCACAAGGAGGTAAGATGTCATACTGTATAGCACATATTAGTATATATTTGTATATTCCTTGATTTTGATTTTATAGTATATACTTTCATTATTAGGACAATATTTTATGGTTTTTTTTTGTTCTTGATTTCCCTCCCTACGGAGGTTAAAATTAATAACGGCTATTTTTATTCTTTAACTTGCTGCTATAATCACGTACATTCTTTAGTTAAGAATTCTGCATTCAGCCAACAGATTTTCCTCCTTTTATCTTTCCTTGTATTATTAGTCTTAAAATTTTATATTCTGGTCCTCTCATCACAGCCTAGATTTCTGGTTTGTATAGTGACGAATAATTTTGTTTATTTATCATCCCTCTCCAGTACTTCTTTCTTTGTTCGAAAGCCTAGATTTTTTTTAAATTGCATTTTTTTAATGATCAAGTCTCAGCTTTATATAATAATAATAAAAGTATATCAAATGGTACGTAATACGATTTCCAAATTAAGATTTTTGAACGTAAGGAGTGACTTCCTTCATATAAACGATGATTTGATAATCTGTATTCGCCTATTTATTTCTGCAGTATGATTATTTGTTTCATTGATCAAAGTACTGATATTTTTCTACATATTCTATCACGTCCTTTTTAAAGTATGACTCAGGAGGCTCAGTGTTCATAGTCAAAGCATTCTTTTACTGCTTGTTTTTTCGGGGTAGGTGTTAACGCTGACTTAAGCTACTGTTCTGATATTGCTTCAAAAAAGTGAATAAAATCAGCCCTTTCTGACCAAGTTTTTTGACCACTTATATTGTACTTAGGATTTCAATAATTCACCACAAATTATATTTATAAAATATTAAAATAGCTCATCAAATTTTATTCCAACCAATTTAATAGATTTTGCATAGAAAATTTGCGTGACAGGTAACGGGTAGATACACTTTACGATTCCGGTAAAGTTAGGTCTACTACAGGTTCGCGACCTTGCCCTGCCTACGTGAGCCGTGGTTCACTGTCACTCCTTTTAACCAAAAGGGTATCACATTCCGACCTATCATCCTTGTCAAAGACCCCAAAATTTCCTAACCCATCCTAATAATCGTCTACGTACCAACTCGCACAGGCCAGCGTGGTAGATAAACGGCCATGAACCCCCTTAAAATGAGAAACGATAAAGACGCAAGGCCCTTAGTCTCCGGCAGTCCCTTGAAACTAGGCTTTGATAGCAGTCACGGATGTGGAGGGACAGAGAGTGCTAAGAATCTCCGAAGTGGACCAAGATGATTCGAAGTTTGTACTTGGACCTCACGGATATGGTGACAGAAACGGAAGGTGTCAAACTCTTATAGAATTTCTTCTGTAATACAAACTATATGTCATGAACAACTATTTTAAAAAAAGCCCCCATAGAAAAACAAAATCGACTTTATCTTTACTGACAAAAAAGACGCTGTTCAAAACGTAACTGTATTAAATCAATTTACAACCCAAAGTGACCATAGAATGGTAAGAGCGAAGGTAGTCTTAAACGTAAAGAACGAACGAAGAAATATGATAACAAGGACTAAACATGTTATGTTTACTGCGATTACTAACACAACGGCATATCAGGAAGAAGTAGATAGAAACCTTCAGAATGACGTGCAAGATGAAACCGATATTGAACAACTTAACACGAAAGGTTAGTGGGCGCTCTAAGGAAGGCACAGAAGAACTGTCAAGTTGGGCAAATAAGGAAAAATGAAAAACTTACAGAAGGCACAAGGAACCTAATGCAAAAAAGAAGAAAAATGAAAGATAAGCACACAGTGAACATCGCAGAGCTAAAGAATTTAAATAAAAACCATTTCAAAAGTTGTTCGGAACGACATAAGGGATTTTAACACCAGAAGAAACATCTAATACCATAGAACAAAATAACAGCCTTAAAGTTCTAAAACGAAAGTTAAAGACAGGAACCAGGAACATTTATAAGCTTAAAAATTAATAAATTAACAATCAGAATAAAACAATATATTCTATAAGTTAATGTGATGAGTTTAAGTCCTGTCCCTTGGTTCTGGCGTGATGTGGTCCCCTCCAGTGAGAGAATCACGGGTCCATGTTACTGGTCTGTTGGCCAACGTCGCTTTAGTCTTCGGATAACTTGATGTTGAGGTATTGCGGAAATTAATGGGTTGGAGTGTGTGTTCACTTTTTGAATGTATTGTAATTTCTTTTGCTGGTATACTTCTTTCACTGTTGAGATATTGAGATCCTCATAGATTCGTTGGTTGGTTACGTACCAGGGTGCATCAACAATTGCTCTTAAGATTTTTGATTGACATCTTTCCATAATAGCAATATTAGATTTACTACTACAGCCCCACAGCTCTATGCCATATGTCCATATTGGTTTAATAACTGTTTTATAAATTAGAATTTTATTATTTATTGACAGTTTGGAGTTTTTTCCAATTAACCAATTGATTTCTTTTTGTCTTAGTTGTATTTGTTTTCTTTTTTTGGTGATGTGTTCTTTCCAACACAGGGTTTGGTCCAGGTGTAGCCCTAGGTATTTGGTTGTTTTAGTCCTGGGTATTTCCTCATTGTTGATATATATTGGTGGTGGTGTTTCTCGTCGTAAAGTGAAAGTTACGTGGGTTGACTTGTTTTCATTAATTTTTATTTTCCATTGTTTTAGCCAGTTTTCAAGCTCATACAAATAATCTTGGAGTTGTTGTGTAGCTATGTTAATGTGTTTGTGACTGGTAAGTGCTACTGTGTCATCTGCAAATGTGCCAATTGTTACGTTATGCGAAGTTGGTAGATCAGAAGTATATAATATATATAATAAAGGTCCCAGGACACTGCCCTGTGGAATTCCCGCCTTAATGGGATGCATTTTAGATATTTCTCCATTTACTTTTGTTCTAAACTGTCGGTTTTCCAAGTATGATGTAAGTATTCGAAAGAAGGGTGGTAATATTTGTTTAATTTTATAAAGAAGTCCTTTATGCCAAACCTTATCAAAAGCTTGACGTACATCTAGTGATACCATTGGGCAATATTCCTTTTCTTCTAATGCGGAATTGATTTTATGGGTTATTCGGTGGCATTGCTGGATAGTTGAGTGTTCTCGTCGAAATCCAAACTGAAAATTTGGTATCCAGTCTGCGCCTGTAAGGCCTGGATCTATTCTTTTTATTAAAAGTTTTTCTAGTAATTTGGAGATTGTTGATAACAGACTGATAGGTCGATAGGATGAGACTTCACTTGGATCCTTTCCTGGTTTTGGAAATAAAAGTATTTCTGCAATTTTTAGATTGTTAGGCCAATAATTACATCTTAATATTGCGTTAAATATATATGTAAGGATCACTATACCCTTTTTTGGTAATTCCTTTAGCATTTTTGGAGTTATTAGGTCAATTCCTGGTGACTTTTTGATATTTAGTTTTAAGATTTCTTCTTTAAGTTCTTTGGGTGTTGTTAATTTTATTGGATTTACTGACGGTTGTTCTGAGTTTAAATAATTAATAATTTCTTGATCTTCTTCATTGTTGTGTGGTTGGAATACTGTTGCTAAATGTTCAGCAAATAATTCGGATTTTTCTTTATCGCTTCTTGCCCATTGGTTCTGTGTGTTTGTGGTTTTTCTTACTGGTGGCGATATTGCTTGAGGTTTTAAGGATGATTTGATTGGTTTCCATATTGAATGGTCGTATCTATTAAGTTGTGTTACATATTTTTTGACTGACTCTTCTCTTGCAATTTTTAGTTGTGTTTTTAATTTATTGGCTAAGCGATTGTAAAACGTTTTATCCGCTGGGTTCCGACTTTGTTGCCATTTGGCTCTTGCTCTTCTTTTTTCAGCAATGAGCTTTTTAATTTCTAGTGGAATATTTATTCTATTCTCGATTTTATTTTTATCTGCATCGTTCGGTGTCGCTTCTTTTGCAGCGTTTTGTAATAATGTCATAAAGTTGTTTGTAGCTGCTTCTATTTCTGAAGGGCTTCTTAGTCTTACATTTAGTTTAATGTTTTCATCCAGTATTTTTCGGTAAACGTTCCAATCTGTTCTAGGTCCATGCAGTTTTGGAGTAGGTTGTTTGTTAATAACGCAGGTGCTAATTGTTGCAATAATTGGTGAATGATCTGAAGATAGATCATAACTTGGAACTATGTCCATAAAGGTGTTAGATATTCCTTTTATGATGCAAAAATCTAAGAGGTCTGGTCTTTTTTTGGGGTCCGTTGGCCAGTACGTTGGTGTTCCTGTTGATAAATATGAGTATTTATTTTCTTGCATTAAGCTATAAAGCTCTCTCCCCTTTGTTGTTATTAATCTTGATCCCCAGTACGTGTGTTTACTATTGAAGTCACCAGCTGCGATAAATTTTGGACCTAGAGTATTGAAGAAGGATGCGAAATCGGTTTTTTTAATATTGTGCTTTGGAGGGCAATACACTGCTGCTATTGTTATTTCGTAAGGTAATGAGCACACTTTAATTACTGTAGCTTGGATACAGTCTGTTATATAACTTTCCATCATGAAATGTTTAATTGATTGTTTGATCAAAATTGCTGTACCTCCATGGGCTGTCTTGTCTGGATGGTTAGTATGGTACGTTAGATATTGAGGTATTTTAAAATACGATTTGTCTGTAAAATGTGTCTCACTTATTAATAATACATCTATAAAATTTTGTTGTAGAAATATTATCACCTCGTCCTTATGATTCAGCAGGCCATTGGCGTTCCATTCTGCTATTCGTAGAAAGAATTTTATTTGCATATGAGTTTACTTAGCATGTTTATTACCATGCTGTTTTGTTGCAAGATTTGATTAAACATGGCTTTGAATTCTTCTAAAAACTTCATAAGAATGGTGTTTGAATCTTGGTTATCTGAAGGAGCAGCAGGAGGTTGTCTATTACCCGCTGCATTAGCATAGCTTACATTTGGTCTTACTGTGTTGGGTATAAAGTTTCTGTTACGTGCTTGCGACATATTTTGGTGATGATTATATGTAGTTTGTGCTATA